ATTGTCTTTAGAAAGATGGGAGAGGGCTTCTCTGGGAAGAGTCTTTGGAGTTGAATTTTTAAGGATGAATAAAAGTAACGAGGGAGAATGAGACAAAAATTCCAGCATGTGCAAATGCCCTAATGCAGAGAGTGTCCAAAGAACAGAGAGAGAGAGAGAGAGAGAGAGATTGTATCTGTCTTCTGTCTGGATCATAAGAAATGAGAGGTGGACAGTGGAGAAGGCAGATCAAGCTGGAAGGAGTTAGCAGTTAGCAGAACGGAATCGCTGAGAAGGCCGGCAAGCCTTCCAAGACCTTATAGGTCATCTCAATAGTTTTGCTATTTATTCTAAGGTTTTTAAACCGGATGAAGTGACATGAATAAAGGTACATTTTGAAAACATCACTCTGTATGCACTTGTGAGAATGGATTGGAGGTGGGGAAGGATAGAGCCAGTGAGACCTGTTCCATTGTTTCTAGGTTTTACAAGAGAGAAAATGGTGGTAGAGATAGAGAGAAGCTACTAGATGAAAGACATGCTTTGCTTCGGATATAAAATCATCAGCCCTGGGAGATAAATAAGATGTGGGAAGCAGAGGTGAGGGATGTATTAGACTAGCTTCCAGACTCGGTTTCAGCACCTGGACAAATATTAGTGCTATTTACTGGATAGAGGACAAAGAATGTGGACTGCATTTGAGGAGAAAATGTCTTGAATTTGGTTTGAGGTGAGTGTGCAGTGAGCTAACTTCACATCACCTTTATTCTTTACTATTATGATTCTCCCATTTTCATTTTTATCTATTCATTTATTTTCTCATTTAACTATCATTGTTAAGCACTAGCGTTGGGATTCAAAAGTGATGATACAGACACAGTCTTTCAAGGAACTTACAGTCTAGGAGAAAGCAATTAAACTTGATGGTACTATTAATGAAGAGCTATGATGGGAGGAAATATTACCAAGACACAGAGAGTACACTGCAGCCAGAGCTGGGGTGGAACCCTTGGATGGATTTCTGAAGGAAATGTCTCTGATGAACTCTGAGAGAAGGGAGTCTAGGAGAAAAGGCTATTCCAGGCAGAGGGAAGGACATGTGCAGAGAGGAGACAAAAGGACTCAGACTCAGGAGCTAAGGAGATCAAAGCAGTTCAGTGCACCCAAAGCACACAACTGGGGGATGAAAGCAGGAGCTAGTGAGCTAACAGGAGTCTGGGTTTTATTCTGAGAGCAAAGTATTTTCAAGGCTCTTTCCCACTTTGATCACTCTTTATTAAACTTTCAATTCTCTTTTGTCTCTTTTTCTACTACATTCATGTATAGACACTCACACCGATTATTCTCTTTTACTCCTAGACAAATACAATATCAAACATTCCGCAGAACCAAGAAGTCACACGGGATCTTGAATTGCATTTGGAAAACCAGCAGATCATTTTATAACCCTCAAAGCTCATTAACCACCTACTTCTGATTACTTTAAAGCCGTTAACATCACTCTCAAAGTATCCTTAGGCACATGTTTTTCTGACCGCACCAAACAATTGTTTCCAATTTGACAGCCAGTGTTCTTGGAATCTTACATACACACGCTCATGAAAGGGATGTTTATCCCTGGCCAGTTTGGCTCAGTTGGTTGGAGCATCGTCCTATGCACCGCCAGGGCGTGTACAGTGTATGGGAGGCAACCACTTGATGTTTCCCTCTCACATCTATCTCTCTGTCTCTCTCCCCGCCCCCTCCTTTCCTCTCTCTCTAAAATCAATAGAAACATATCCTCAAGTGAGGATAAAAGGGATGTTGTCTGTGTGGCACGACCATTTTCAAACAGAAAGAAATCTCCACTGCCCATAACATTCAAGACCTTGTTGAATTTTTCATCTCCCAACTGCCTACGTTATTCTTTTGGTCCTACTAAGGTCTGGTTCTTAGATTTGCTTCATTCCAGCTGTCCCTCTGCTTTTTCCTTAGTTCTCCTGCCTGGAAAGTTCACCTTCCATGGATCACTCTATTTTTTCAAACAGTAACACCAAGTGTTCTCACGTCCTATTCCCATTCACAGAAGACTATTGTAGTTCTTCAAACACTCCATTCTGCTGCACACCTTTGTTCTTTGATACATACATGATTCTCTCTTTTCGAGATGTGTTTCCCCCACCTTAAATTCCTGGACAAGTGTTACCTTTCAAGACCCATCACAAACATTTTCTTCTTGTGACCAACCCTCCTCTCTTACTAACCTCCCAACAAATCTGAGGACTGGAACACCCTATCTTTTAAGTCACACCATTATACTGTTTATAATTATTTAAAACTAGATGCCTGATGCATGAAATCTGTGCAAGAGTAGGCCTTCCTTCCCCTGGCTGCCAGCACTGGCTTCCCTCTGGCACCCGGGACCCAGGATTCCCTCACAGCCCCTGCTTCATCCAGAAGGTCATCTGCTCTAATTAGCATATACAACTTTTATTATTATAGATGGTCTTCTGTCTTTACTATGCTGGGGTCAAGACTATGTACTATTTATATCCTCTGTACCCAAACAGTGCCTGAAAAAAAGTAATCAGCAAACTATTGACTATTGAATGAAACAATTTTTCAGTGAATGAATACTCAAACATGTCAAAAAATGCTTCTCATATATGTGAGAGAGATGGCTGAATACCGCTATCCCACAGGCTATCATCTTCATTTAACACATTTTTTTAATGAACTGTGTGTGAGAGAAACATCAATGATGAGAGAGAATCACTAGTCAGCTGCCTCCTGCATGCCCCCTACTGGGGATTGAACCTGCAACCCAGGCATGTACCCTGACTGGAAATCCAGCTGTGACCTCCTGATTCATATATCAATGCTTAACCATGGAAACACACCTTCTGGGCCATTTAGCACATATTTTAAAACATTTATAAAGACCTGATTCCTGGTTCTAATACCTAGAGGTCCTAATGGGAGCCCAGGTGCTTCTGACTTTGAGAACCCTGCTGAGAAACGTTGTTCTAAAGCAAGAACAAAGTGGCTTAGTGGTTGAGTGTTGACCTATGAACCAGGAGGTCACAGTTCGATTCCCGGACAGGGCACATGTCCGGGTTGCAGGTTCAGTCCCCAGTGTAGGAGGCAGCCGATTAATGATTCACTCTTATCATTAATGTTTCTATCCCTCTTGGAAATCAATAAAAATATTTAAAAAGATAAAGAACATCAGAAAACAGAATCAGCATAAAGATGAATAGTGGAAAACTTTCCTCTTCATTTACCTATATGTCTTTGAAGTAATAAGAAAACCCTAGGTGCACATCATGTATTTCATCTACCTATCCACCTATCCATCCATCCAGTTCCTCTTCCTTTACCTTTATACCTTTTAAGCAAAGCATAACCCCAGTGCACGCACCATATACTTCATTAATTTCTCCATCCATCTATTCAACTATCCATCCATCCCATTCTTCTTCCATTTACCGATATGTCTTTGAAGTAAAACAAATCCCGTAGTACACACCATATAATTCATTGAGCCCTCCATTCATCTACCCACCTACCCATCCATTCATCCATTCATTTACCCTGCACTGTGCTAGGCACTCTCTCAGGCAGGGCGGAAGCAAAGGGAAAATCTGAATGTGAATCAGACTCTACTCCAGAAGAATTTAAAACCAAATAATCACTTGCGTGAGAAGCTTTAAGATGAACAACATAGGCATAACGAGGGTTTAAAGCCAGAGCAGGAACATGCCAGCTTTCATCTGTTTTTTTCTCTAAGAAAACACCCATAGGTCCTGAACTCTGAGTTAACAGAAAGTCCCTCTCAGTTCTTATTTCCCACGGGAAGATTGAACTAGAATTTTGAGGCCTGGCTATGAGTTTCATGTCTTCTTCAATGTTCACATATGTGGTTGGGTTGGCATCAGTCTGACCTGTTTGGATCTAGAGTTCGGTTATTTCAGAGGCTTCCTGAGTTGCTTCCTTTGCATTATGCATTATATATTTTGATGCAGAACATCTATTTTTGATTGTTTTCTCTCCTTTGTGCTCTAGAAGCCCACAGACTTTCATTGATTTTCTGTTGCTAAAGCGTGCCCCCACCTTGCACTCCCTGTAACTTGACAACTGCCATTTGGTTTGTTTTTTTCTCAAAGTCAGCAACCTATTTTTTTAAAATCTGTCATCCCTTCCCTTCTCGCAGCTAAGTCATTTTTACAGAGGCTGTCTCTATGGCCGGGGAAGGGAGAGCCAGGAATTCCTAAAGTCTGGCTGAGAGAGAGGTTGGGCTGACCTGATTTATCCCCCCCTTTAAAAGGCTGTTTTCGCCTAGTTGTTTACCGTCTTTGGCATGCTCTTCTCTCCTATCGCCAACCCTGCCATCTGGCCATGATTACTTGTCACCTCAGAAGCTTCAGTCAATTCTCTATGACTTTTGCAAGTCCTCAAAGGCTCAATTACTTAGCCAACTTCTCCTCCCACCACCTGTATGTCAAAAGTGACAATTTATTGTTCAGAGAGTGTCTGATAGATGAGCCAGGAAGCCAGCTGCGAGGCAATGTGGCTTTTCCTGGGGCAACTCAGTTGCTGAAGAAAGGGGAACTGAGAAGTAAACTAAGATTGAAAACAATCAAACCAACAACCCCTTTTTCAAAAGGGAAAAATGTAGACCAGCATCCTTGTCTGCCAGCTGGCTGCAGATGAGCCTGCAGGGGGCTCTGCACTGGGAATTGGCAGAGCCACAAGGTGGAAGGAACCTGGGTCTCTGCATCACCATGCAGAAGGTCCTTCACCCAACACACATACGAACGTGTGTTCAATTGTGTTAAGCCACTGAGATATGGGGATCCCTTATTGGAGCACCTTGCTTATCCTGACTAAAATAAAAGGAATATGAACACTCACAGGATTCTCAGGGGAGAAAGGCATCATGCTGTTCCTTGCATGTGCCAAGGAATGCAAGGCATGCAGGAGGAGGCTCTCGGGCAATGGCCCATCCTTTGAAAGTAAGGGCTTTCCCAGGAAACACTCACTGATGGATCCTTTGCTGGCTGAAAGGGGCAGTGTAGCAGTCATTCTCCTCCAGGTCTGGCAGTGTCTCCTTGTCCAGCCTCATTGGCTTCCTAGGTAACCACCTCCGAAACCTGCTTATTTGCTTATCGATCCTGTGGTACATGAAAGGCAAGACCAAAGGGTACAGAATGTCAGCGTTACACAGAGCCACGACTGTGACACCGCACACTCCAGGCACTCTCACTGCACTCAGGGAACCCACTCCCCCATTTCACAGATGGAAAGAAGGGAGCCACAATGCCTGTGCTCTTTCTATGTCACCAAGGAGCCTCAATGTTACTGTCTACAAGATCACTGCCATGCGTGACGCCAATCAATGACCAAGGAGTCTTAACCAGACTAGAAGGCTTTGGAAAGGAAGGTGATAGTCCCTTAAGCAAAGCAGCAGGGACCGTAACTTCTTATATTCTGCAGGTTCTATAAACTCATTCTGTGCTTGGCCAATTTCTTCCTCTTCCCTTAGTTAGGGAAGAACTCAACTATAGGTGACTTTGGGCAGGAGTGCCAACAGCACATCCCAGTGGGTGGACTGTGCAGAGAGCCTGATGTCATGATTTGCCTCCTGCCTCTCACACCTTCTCCAAACCCTATCAGCAGACAGTAGGTTCTTTAGTTTTCACTTTTTTCTTTTTAAATTGACCCCATGGTTCTCACACTGCTAGGGCATTTCAACACACATGTATCATTTTGGCCATGGCACACACGATGTCAAGACAAGGAGAACAAAAGTGTCCAAACAGTGGTTTTCAAGCACCACTTTTTCCCTGGCTGCCTCCCAAACCCTCTGACTTCTGCTGGTGAGAACATCTGGCTTCCAAGCAACCAGATGTTCATTCACAGCACCCACTGGCAGGAGCAGAAACCACAGCAAACTTAAAAATGTTGCTGCTATGTTGGGGAGCACAGAAGACTTGGTTGGAAAGTTTGTAAGGAGGACATTTTGAGAAAACGGATGTGTGCTGAAGGTGGCCCACCCTGTTTATTGTAATTCTGACTTAGGGGAGTGCCGAGGGCGGTGCCCCTAATTATTCCTTGACCTTTTCAGACAAGTCTGTGCACATGCAGACCCCCGGGTGTTTACTGGAATCCTTATGCTTAATCTTGAGGTGTCCTTGCTTAAAGGACACTGCACACATGTACCCTCCCAAGACTACTTATCCTACTGATGGTATTATATCTAAAAGATAAATGCTACTCAAACTGCAGTTATAATAAAAGCCTAATGAGGCAGGCAATCTGGTTCCTTTAGCCAGGCAGTCCCTTAGCCCTCTCTTTCACAGCAAACGTTGTGTCAGAGTAATCATTCATCCATCACTCAGGGTCTGCTGTTCAGCCCCAGAAGCGCTACCTCAGGCATCCATACCACAGGGTAACTTTTCCCCCAAGAGCACATGTCAAACAGCATCTCTGTGAGGTAGACCCAACAGATACGATACTCATTTTATATGTTATCAAAGAGATCCGGGGTGGAGAGAGATAATTATTCAATCCAAAATACTCAACCAATAAACAAAGCAGGACCAGAATCCATATTGTGGATTCCTGATTCTAGGGATCACTTCATCAAAGTAACTGATAATAGAAATCTTCACTTTAAGGGCTACAAGAAGGGACAGATCCCCCTGGAGAGGAAAATATCTGAATGCCTTCTAAGTCTATTCACCAAAAACACATGGAATCTGGGCATGTTTTACTTTTTCCCAATTTTTAAAAATATTTACATGGCAATTTATCCTTTGCATAAAACTTCTAGCTGAATAAATTATTTTTTATTCCCAATTCACTCTAAAATGAAAAATAATAGCAAATGTCTTTTTTAACCACCTCTCTTATTCTCAGCCTTGTTCCAGCCTCACCTGACCATCATTCTGCTTGCTGGTGGCTGTCCTTTTGCAGAACCCCTGAAGGTTCACACTGGAAAGAACCTCTCAGCTTCTCTAGGCCCCTCCTCTCCACAGAGGACCTGTCCCCACCACATACGCACACATAAGTAAAGATTCTACCCAGAGCCATGTAATCAGAAAAGAACAGTAGATTAGAAAGGCCTAAACACCCCCAAAGGGAAGAAGTTCCAATTTCCTCCATTCTTCATCGTCCTGGACCCCAACACCCCATTATCTCTTAACAGATATTTAAAATATAGGGATATAATGGGCTCCAGAAAATCAGTGTAACATTGACTGAGACCATGGGGCTGGCATGCCTCGTTTCAAGTCCTGGCTCTGTAAATATTAGCAGTGTGACCTTGGACAAGTTATTTAAGTTTGCTGTACCTCAATTTTCTTATCTGTAAAATGGGCATGATAATGAGTCTCAATTCACAGGACTGTGATGATAAAGTCTCTTGAACAGTGTCTGGTGCACAATAAGCACTGGCTATGATTACTATCTTCTTTTTCTTTTCAAAAATAAGAATTGGAGCAGCCAGCGTGCCTCTTTACATTGCTGTCTTTTTTCTTTTCAATTCAAAGTTAATTGTGCTTCACCAGCATCTATCACTTGTCCAAGTTCAATGATTTAGTCCTTAAATGGAATTATAAATTAGACTTCATAGGCTAAGCTGGTGGCTTTCCCCATGGCCCTAGGATTCATTTCATTTGATTGCCTTGAAACTCATTAAAGAAAGAGGACATTATATGGTGATGGATAGTACCTAGACTTATAGCGCTGATCGCTTTGTAATGTATACTATGTCAAATGATAATGTGGTGCACCTGAAACTAATATCCTATATAATAAAAGCCTAATATGCAAATTAACCAAACAGCAGAACAACCAGTCCCTATGACATGCACTGACCACCAGGGGGCAGATGCTCAATGCAGGAGCTGTCCCCTGGTGGTCAGTGCGCTCCCACAGGGGGAGTGCCACTCAGCCAGAAGCCCTGAGCCGGGCTCACAGCTGGCAAGTGCAGCAGCAATGGCCAGAGCCTCTCATGTTTCTGTGGCAGCACTAAGGATGTCCTGTGGGGAGCGAGCCTAAGCCATCAGTTGGACATCCCCCAAGGGCTCTTGGACTGCAAGAGGGTGCAGGCTGGGCTAAGATACACCCCCCCCCCAGGGGCCTAAGTGCACAAATTTCATGCACTGGGCCTCTAGTGTTACATACAAACTTTCCCTCAATTTTAAAATAGAGGACACTGGCTCAGAAGTTTTTTATAATAGAGTTTTTACCTCCCACACATCTCCAGTCTGCAGCGCTGATCAGATTACACTGTGCAAAATTCACATGCCCACAGAATCTGGGCTCTGCATGTGATGACTATGAATTTAATACAACTGGGTACAGTACTCAGAATGGATAAAAACAAATAAAGCTGTGAAAAATTGGGCATGAATGCTCTATGGGAATAAAATGGCAGCTTGTACCAACCAGCTTGTAGCATCACAATTTAGATGAAATGTGAAGATGGTGAGGAGAAAGTAAAATAGGGCAATAAAAATGATTAATTAGTTGAAAAAGGAGGAAGAGCACAAGGAAGTGAAAGGGAAGGGAGTGAAGTTGCTTGGCATGGTGGAGAGTCCATAATGGGCATGTCTAAATCCTGGCTCTTGCTAATCTGCTGTGTGACCTTCCACAAATCACTCACCTTTCTGAGCCTTATTTGTCAAGGGTTTTTGAGCGGGATCATCATTATCATCAGTTATCATCATCATGACCTTCAGGGCTGTTAGGTTTATAAAAGATGGTGTGCAAGGAATGCTTTGGGGAAGCTGCCAGGGAGATGGCTGTGTTCTTAAAAACTACTTGAGAGAAAGTGACAGGAAGCAGAGGAAATGGGCTTTTGAAACACTTATCTTGGAAGAAAGATGGTGGACAGATACCTTAAGGTTAAAGCCCCTGAGACACTAACTGGGGGTTGGGGTGTGGAGTGGCCTCTGCTCTGCAGCCTGAGCAGAAGCAGGAGGGCCAAGCATGGACTGTCCAGGCTCCATCACATATACTGGGGTCCATGCTGTATGCTCCTCACAACAGAAACAACGTGGTCAGCAGTTTGTGTTCTTTTCTGGTTGGCAGACTGGACCCCCATAAATGTGTGCACCCCAATACCCTGAACCTATGACTATGTTCTGTGATGTGGCAAAGGGGACTTTGCAGATGGAAGTAAGGTTACAGACCCCCAAATAGGGCGAGCATCTGGATTATTCAGGTGGACCCAATTTAACCCCACGAAGCCTTTAAAGACAAAGAACCTTCTCCGGCTGGAGACAGGGGAGATGAGGCAGGAGGGGAGGTAAGAGAGATTCAAAGAGTGAAAGTAACCCAACCAGCCATTGCTGGCTTTGCGGATGGAGAGGGCCAGGAGGGCAGGCAGCTAGAAGCTGAGAAGGACCTTTATCCAGGAGCCATACAGAGACAGAGCCTGCAACTGCAAAGAACTGAACTGTGCCAGCAACTGCATGAGTCTGGAAACAAATTCTCCCCATGGCCCTTCCCTTCCAACACCTTGATTTCAGCTGTGGGAGACCCCGAGCAGAGAAACCAGTTAAGCGCCCATGTCCTGGCATTCTGACTCGTAGCACTGTGAGATAATAAAGTTGTGTTGTTTTATGCAGCGGTTTGCAGGTATGTGTTACAACAGCAATAGGAAACTAACACACCTCCTACAATAGTCTTGGCGTGACCTTCCCCTTGAGGTCTGGCCAACGTGTGCTAGGTTCCCAGTGCTGGGGCTGATGTCCCACGTGCTGCCCCCACCTGCCCTTCTGGTGGCTCTGGGAACAAGGGTCTGTGTCTCTCTGGCGTGACCTTCCCCTTGAGGTCTGGCCGTGTGCTAGGTTCCCAGGGCTAGGGCTGATGTCCCACGTGCTGTTCCCACCTGCCCGTCTGGTGGCTCTGGGAACAAGGGTCTGTGTCTCTGGGACTGGAGGACAACTAGCTGTTCTTCTGCAAACACACTCCTGTCCCCGAACTGCACCACCAAGACATCATTGAGGGCCCCTTCTGCCATGCAAAGAAGAAATGCAAAGGGCAAAATCTACTGGGCTGGAATGTGTGAGACTCAGTGAGGTCACTGACTCTGCCACTGTATGTCAGTGTGCCTGGGGCAAGCTTCTTCTCACGGAGCCTCAGTATCCTCATCTCTAAATGGTGAGCCTTCAGAAGCTCTTGAGATACATACTGGTTGTGATGTGGGCAATAATATCTTGGCTGCATCATTCTAAACAACCTTCAGTTAATAAAGAGCTTTCCTTTTCACAATGCATAATGGATAACCTTCCATCTAGAATGGAAGACTTTGGCATCCGCCAGAAGCAGGTTCACATACTGGTTGTAGAGCTGGCCAGTCATGAGTGCCACACTGGGCAGGTAACTAAACTTCTCGGAGCTAATACACCCACCGCATGAGGCAGTGGTGAGGACAACACAAGATAATGGGTACCAGGTGTTGCACAATGCCTGGGATGTACAAAATGCTCAGTTAAGTGGTCGTATTTAGGATGAAGAAAATGCTGACAATGAACTTCTATATAGAGCATTCTCAATGGAAATTCTGGAGCTAGGATCCTCATTTGTATATTGAGGTCTGTGCTTCTATCTTACACTTAACACACTTCCCCAAACAGGCAATCCTGAAATGCACTTAGGTAAAATTCAAGAACCCAACCAATCAGGGAGCATCCCAATTTGCCTCTTCAGTATAGGGCTCAAGAGAAAAGAAAGATGTTGGCTTAATGACTGAGCATTGATGTGGTTGGATACATGTCACTTTGTTCTATTCCTGACATTACTAAGCAAAATCCCTCTTACGGACCACACAGGCAATAAAGAGAAGATGGATCATCCACTTGGGCATTTCTGGCCTTAACTTGTCAAGTTAATATCTGAACTAAAAGGCAGGAACTTTGATAGAAAGTTGTGGTAAGTTCAGAGTCCCCCCCGCCCCCAAATGCTGATTCATGGCAGGCAAAGTTCCAGATAGCTGGAAAGAGCTGGTAGCATAGGACAAGTGCATGGGCATGGACCTGATCCCTGTCATACTGTGCCTCCCCAGGGTGAGCCTTGGAAACTGCCTTGGGAAGGTTCTGCTGAAACCTCTTTAAACTGGGTTCCCTCAGCTCTAAAGGGGAGAATATCCTTCTAACCTTAGGAGCGGTGATGATTAAAGAAAAGGCCACATGCAAAGGACTTCATGTCCCCATGCTAACCTGTCAGTAGGCCTTTATAAATTACCTACTGTGTGCATAGCCCCAACCTGGATGCTGTGGGTTTACCCTGAAGAAGCAGAAGAAAAGGGCCTTTCCCTTGAGCCATTAACCATGCAGGAGGGACTTTGTACCAATGACAACTTAATTAGGCTGAATTAAACACAACAGACTACTTCAGGGACACCTGCTTTCCCCACACCAGAATATTATAATAACAGCATCACGTTTCAAACATTTAGATTACGTTTTCAGGATGATATGCCTAGAGGGAACATACAGATGTATTCTCATTCTCTCTCTCTCTCTCTCTCTCTCTCTCTCTCTCTCTCTTTCTCTCTCTCTCTCTCCCTCCCTCTCTGCTACCATTATATGGCTGCTGGAAGAGTCAGTTTCGAAGACGCCACACACAGCCCTACATTACAGCTACTGAGGCCTCCCTGGACTGCTACCAGTTAGACATCAGCCAGCTTGGATTTCTTTTTCCTCTTCTTAGAGCCAAGTCCCCTGTATTTACAGATTCTCCTTGGATAGAAGTTAGGGAGCTTCGGAAGTTGATAAGATTCTTTTTAGGTCACAAGGCTACTAATTGGGACACAACCTAAATACCTTGTAAGAGAGTCCAAAGGTTTTGGAACATTTACACACATTAATTTTTTAAAGCGGGGATGGAAATATACAAGCCATTTTGTTGATGTGCCTGCATACTCATCTGAGAAGATTACAACTGTGCTGAATGTCTAATGCAGCAGGATCCGGCATTCATTCTGCCCACAGCTGCACAGGACAACCCCGGGCGGGATGTGTGTGGGGAAGTGGAGGCAAAAGGAAGGAGTAGTAATGAGACTTAGCTACAAGCCACCCACAAGAGTCAGATGTGTTTCTTTGTAATCATATCTTTTACATACCACATTTGTACTATTTGGTGAAGGCAAAAAAAAAAAAAAAAAAAAAAAAAAAAAAAGACAAGTAAAAGGGTCAAAAGAAAGATGATTAATTCCCTTTCTTTATTGGGTGGGTAACTTATAATGCTTGTTAAGTCTGCCCAAAGTTAAGTCACAGCAACATTTAATAGACAAAGTACATGGATGAAAAGAGCATTTACTCGAAAAATATGTGTCTGAACTACATGAGTATGCTTTATGAGAGTCAGGTGACCTTTTAAAATAAAGATATTTGTGAAAAGGTACTTTATTTCTCTGTCTGCTCAGAAACTTTATCCTATTAATAAAAGCCTATGTGGTCATCACGCCCTCACGCCCTGACACTCTCATGCTGCAACAAGCAATCACCAGAGGCTGCGTGTGCAGTGGACGCATGCAGATGGACAGGGCAGCGTGTGCACGTGGGTGGGTGGTGGCTTGATGCAGCGCAGAGGCAGGAACCCCGGCTTTGGCCTACCTCTTTGGGGTGATCGATCACTAGGCTCCCACACTGTGAGAGGACACAGGCCAGGCTGAGAGAGCCTTCCCCCCACCAAGT